GTTCTTTGCAGGAACTGAGTTTTTAACTTCTTGAAGCAAGGATGATGTTACTGAATCATAGCCCCTAGCTCAGTGCCTGGCATATGGTGGTGCTTAATACTGAATAGGTGGATTGACTTGAAAAGGCTTTGTGGAGTTGAGCAAGAATTTGATATGAGTTAGGTAAAGCTTTTAGTTACACTGAAACCTATCCTGTTATACATAATAGGCATGCAATAAATACTCATTGAATGAATAAGCCCATGTGAAAAACAATTTATTTTTCCTGAGTGAGGAGTACTCTGTCTCTGCATGGAAATACTTGTTTTGACAGTGATCAGAGGTGGCAATTCAAGGATGCAGTGTGAGGAGAAAGGGAGAGATGTGAGAAAGATTCATCTTTGCTAAAAATCCACTTAAGCAGGTAATGTGTTAGGTAGAACATTGAATCTTTCTTCTAGTTCAGTGGTGGCGAACCTATGGCACAGGTGTCAGAGTGGGCTGTTTGTATCATTGAAAGTTCTAGAAGGTTTGTCATCACTGTCCTAGTTGATTGTCAGAACAACCTGAGAATTATTATTATCTACCTTTTATAAATGAAGAAAAATGTGTCTGACAGATTAAGGCATTACATTCCTGCACAAATTAAAAGGGGAGTAGTAGGACTAAGAATCTTCAAGTGTCTAGTACTAATGTCCTTGCTCCCCACAGTTCATGGTATAGCAAGTGATAGGGAGAAGCTGGAATAACTTAGGTTCTATCTCCTGGAAGTCTAAAAGCTCACTGGCAACTACATGAGGAGATGATTGCTGGTTTTAGAAGGTACTCATAGACCCACAGTCACACAAATAAGCGTCTTGGTAGTTTAACATATTGCAAAAATAGCAGTGTGGATTCTGTGCAGTCCACACTCCTTCTCAAGGAAGAACACAGCTTACTCAGTTCACTCAGCTTACTCATGTATGCTCTGCTTTAATAAACATCAATCTCTCCTCACCCATACTGTTGCCATGAAGCTTCCTGCAGTGGATTGTGAACACCTTGAGATCCAGAGCTAGGTATTCCTACTTTTGCTGTGTCTAGCCCAGAACCTGGCACTAAAAAGACTTCAACCTTTTGCAGAGAAAATGAAAATGACTATGAAGGTTATCTTTATGTGTCAAATTATCTGGAGCATGGAGTAATCAGATATTTGTTAAACAGTATTTCAGGGTATATCTGGGAGGGTGTTTTGAATAAGAGTAGTTTTTGAATCAAGAAGATGAGTAAAGTAAATCACTCTCCCTAGTGGGAATGGGCACCACCTAATCTACTGGGCATGTGAGTAGAATTAAAATGCAGATGAGGTGAGAAATTTCTCTGTCTGTTTGACTTCTTAAACTGAAACTCAAATCTTCTCCTTCCTTTAGACAGGAACTCATACCATTGGTTCTTCTGATTCTCAGGCCTTCAGACTCAGACTAGAAGTATATCACCAGCTTTCTTGGGTCTCCAGTTTGCCAAAGTAGAACATGAAATTTCTCTGCCTCCATAATCATATGGACCAATTTCTTTATATTAAATATCTTTTATATTATAAAAGATATAAGGATATATATCTATGTAGTATAAACAGGTACATACATACACACGTATAGTTCTGTTTCTCTAGAGAATCATTACAACTTCAGATATTTTGGTACTATAGTAAGATGTTAGAATAACAAATAATTTAAAATGTCAAAGGGCTTTGGAGCTGGGTAATAAGGTAGAGGCCGGAAGAGTTTTGAGGTATATGCTATAGATTTGAAAATTAAAGGCAATTCTGGTGAGGGCTTAGCTGGAGATCAGGAACATATTAGAAACTGGAGGAAAAAGTAATCCTTGTTATAAAGTGGCAAGAAATGGAATTGTGTTTTGAGGGATGGTAAGGTTTATAAGCAATTTAACTAGATATTTAGTTGAGATTTGTAAGCAAAGTATTGAAGAATCAAGTGACTTGATTTTTCCTGACAACTTATAATAAATTGTGAGACGAGAGATGAATTGAAGAAGGAATTGTTAAGCAAAAAAAGAAATCAGAAATTAAAGGTTTGGAAATTCCTCAACCTTTCTATATGGCAAAAAGAGAGAAAGTATGTTTTGAAAAGAACAATAAGGATGTGGCTGGACCACCCAATAAAGAGATCATGAGTATAATTTATGAACTTAATTAGCAACCTCAACAGAAGCTAGGAAAAGAGATAGGATTATACCAACAGAAATACTACCAGCTGGGACTATATGAGAATAAGAAAGTGGGCCAGAATGAAAGATAATTGTTGGATTTCTTTAATTCTACAAGACTGAAACATAGAGCTATTCACTTAAAAGGGTATGCTATTCTTCAAGAAAGGAGAAGAAGAATGCTGATGATGATTCAGAGACTATTAGGGGTGCCACTTGGACCACAGGACCAGGAAAAGGGCTCATTCATCCTCAGTTTCAAGGAGGAGTTACCTACCTGGTCTTGTCAGGTGAGGATACTTATGCCCCATACATCAAGGGCAATACTTTGTAGACGAGTGTGTGTGTGTGTGTGTGTGTGTGTGTGTTAACCTGTGTAGCTGACCCACTTAGCCAGAACATTAAGAACATTAGACTAACAAAGCTTTTTTTCGTTTGTTTAAATTCTTTTATTGGTACATTTCAGGTATACAATACATTTACATTTAGCATTGGGTGCTTGTACTTGTACACGATGTATCTTGGTTCTTATTTTTTCCCCATTACCTGTGCTCCCTTCACCCCCTCCACCCTTCCCTATTTACACAGACTAATGAAGCTTATTTTAAAGCTTTAGTAGCTAATGGAATTTGCCTTGGTGGGCTTTGAACTTGCTTAAGATCCATCACCCCTTTCTTCCTTCCATTTTCTCCCTTTTGGAATTAGAATGCCTGTCCTATGCCTGCTTTAACTCTGGATTTTGGAAACCAGGCATAACTTGTCTGGTTTTATAGGTTCACAGCTAGAGTTAAATCTTGCCTCAGGATAAGTCATACCTTGAGTCTCAGCCATTATCTGATTTAGATGATTTTTAATGATAGTTTGGATTTTAGACATTAGAGCTGATGCTGGAATGAGTGAAGACATTTGGAGCTGTTGAAATGAAATGAATGTATTTTCCATGAGAGAAGAATAAGTATTTTGGAAAACCAGGAGTACAATGCTATGAATTAAATAACACAGACTCCCTAAAATGTCCCATATGTTGAAGCCCTAATCCTTAATGTGATGGTATTTGTGGGGAGAGTTCTTTGGAGATAATTAGGTTTGATGAGGTCATGAGTAGGATCCTCATGATGGGATCAGTGTGTTTATAAGAAGAGAAAGAGAGATCAGAGACTTCTTTCCACCATGGGAGGACACAGAAAAAAAGGAGTTATGTAGAAGCCAAGAAGTGGGTCTTCACCAGGAGTGGAATCTTCTGGCATCTTGATTTTAGACTCCCTGGTCTCCAGAAGTGTAAAATAATTGTTTTTAAAGTCATCCGGTCTATGGTAGTTTGTTATTATAACTTGAGTAGACAAAGGAAGTCTTGGGAAACACCTCACTTCTAAGAGGAGTTTGAGTTAAGAATAAAATTGTTAAGTTTTGTCATTTTTGAACAATACTTTCACAAAGCTCTAAATTCCTCACTTGATGAGAGTTGTTATATATTCAGCATTCAGAGTGCCTAGTCTTTCTCTAGAACTAGGGTAGTGGTAGCTGGCCTTGCTTACCAGCCTTGAGACTTGTTCTTGTAATCAAGCTTTGCAGTAATAAAGATTTTAAATAAATGCCTATTATAATAAAAATAGTTACTAATTATGGATCCCCAGTGCATCATGAATGTGCTAAAATACACAAATGTCCTGTATTGAAAGAGTTCCTCAAAAATGTAGGCCTGGATACACATGTATAAATACCAAATAGTTTCTCTGGTGTGAAAAACTGCAAGAGTAAATGAGGACCATAATGTATAAGAGATAATGTAAAATAGAAAGAAAAGGTCCAAAAGGGAAGAGGAACTAGGGATGGAGGTGGGAGGAAGAAAAGAAGGGAAGGAAAAAATATGAGAAGAGAAGGAAAAAAATGAAAACAAACTTTTTGTAAATAGGAAGGGGTAGAGGGGTGGAAGGGAAGGAAGGGTAATGGGGAAAAACCAAGAACCTAGATATGTCATGTATAAGTATAAGTATAAATTCCCAATGATGAATGTGATCATAATGTATACCTAAAATGTACTAATAAACTTAATGGAATAAAAACATGTAGGCCTATAAGCATGATTATAGGACTACTAAGAGGACTTACACGTTTGACCCTACTCTCTGAGGTTTGGGACAAGGGAGTCAATTTTCCCTACTCAAATGCCTCTTAAAATCCTCTCATAGACACAATCTCAGATTTATCCATTTATTCAATAGATTAAACACTTTCTAAGGGCCTGAAATGATGTCAGATGCTAAGATCTAATGGCAACCAAAAACTCTGCCCTCCTGGAACTAGGCCAGTGGAATGCTCCTCAAATATCACTCACATGAGATTATTACACCCTGACATATGTGTTCTATGAAGTCCTTATAATAGAGCAATCTGACTGAGATTATGAGTTTGATGAAGTCTTTGCTGAGGAAGTAGGTTTGAGATGGGATATGAATGATGTGAAGGTAGTACTAGAGTTAAGAAATAGGAAGAACATCACAGAAAGTGGAAACACAAACGGATCGTTCAGGGGCTCATAATTTTTCTTGCAGTGCTAGAGATTGTACCTAGGGCTTCACAAACACAAGAGTGCATAATTTTAACAAGACACCACCAATTCTCAATAAACAGTGAAAGCATAATCTAATAATAATTGGCTTGCTATGCACAGATGCAGCTTTAAGACCTTAAAATTTTCCAACAAGGATGGTGTTTTTTAGTGCCTCCAAAAAAGAAATTTGGAGAGCAACATGGATCTAGGCACAGGGAATAATATGTTCAAAAATCTATGATAAGATAGAACATCTATGTCCCAGGAATTGGAAGACACTATGGAAGATATTGGGGCAAAGGAAGGATGTAAGACAAGGCTGAACAGCTTATCTTAAAATTCTTGGTAAGTCAATGAAAAATTTTAAGCTAATAGGGATGGAGAAAAAAGGGGTACACAAAGGATCATATGTGCTGTTTGACAAGTGGGTCCAGGGAGACCAGTTAGGGAGCTATTGCAATAGTTCAAGTGAAAGATGATGAGATTTTGGAGCTAGATGGTGGTAGTGAATACAGATAAAAGATGTTGGATTTAGAGATCTTCAGGCCAAACACCAGATGAAACAGGGATAAAAGAGAGGTAACCCAGATGCTATTCCTGGTTCTACTACAAATTATTTTGAAATCTTTCATCGTTGGGCCTCAGAATTCCCTTCATCCATCAAGGAAGTTTCCCAGGCTCCTCCAAAAAATGATAGGAATCTGAACACTAGAGAATTAATCTTTGAAATTTTCCAGTGCTGACATTCTGTGATTCAATAATTTTGTGATATTAATCTTTTGTTCCTTTCTCCTTCATATTCCTAAGGCTATCTTTTCTAAAAACATACTTGCTGGAATGATACTCATGCCTGTAGCTTGATGACAAGTAGTTATGACATCTTGAATCAGGGCTATGAACCAGACATTGTCAGGTGTCTACTGCACAAAAGAAGAAAAGAAAAAGAATCTTTTATTGGAAGTTTTCCCTAGAGATTTAAAAAAAAACTAATGATGAAAAATCAGTGTCAGATCATTATCCAAATGCCTTGGATAATGATAATGATGATTATACTCATAATAATTCCTTAACTTCATTAACGTGCCTCATCTCATTTGACACAACCTTGTGAGGTATGCCAGTTCATAGAAATGAGTAGAATGAGCCCAGGAGAGAAGAAAAAAATAATGGTACTTAAGAAGACTTAGATATTCATTTATCAGGTTCTAGGCCAGTATAAATGTAACAGACAAAGTCTTTGTTCTTGTTGGGGTAAAAATATAATAAAATATGTAATAATAAATATATAATGATACATTATAAGCAGTGATATTATACAATAATATAGCATATAATAAAATAATTTCTGTTGGTAGTGAGTGCTATGATAGAAAATTAATTGCATGGTGTGCTAGCAAGTAAACAAGGAAGGCAATTTTCAATATAATATTCAGAAAAATATCCCAGGTGTGGTAGCATTATAATCAATTTAAAAAATAGTAACTGTAGATGCCAGTTTTGAGAAAGGGCCTGACTTGTGTGAAGAACAAAATGGAGATGAATGTGGTTGGAGCCAGTGAGATAAGAGAGTAGTATAAAAGGAGATGGGAGAAATGCAAGAACTGAAAGTAAAAGAGCCTGTGAAACATGGTAAATTTGAATTTTATTTTAAGTGATGAGAAACCATAAACAACCTCAGTAGAAGGGTGATGCCATTTGATTTTAGCTCTAAAAAGATTGCTGTCACTGATGTGTGGATAATGTACCATCAAGAAGCGAGAATAAAAACTAGTGAGCCAAGTAGGAGAGTATTATAGTAGTCTTTGAAAGAAAAGAGGGTAGTGGCTTAGAAAAGATGACCCTAGAGATGAAAAGCAATGGATATAGAATAGACAGGAGTTGGTAGTGAAGCTGGTTGTCAGTTGAAGGCACTATTTTCAACCTTTTCAACTTTGCACATAGGCAAGCTGAGACCTAGGGAAGAACCGAGATGGGAAATGACTGAAACAAAACTTGAATCTAAGACTTCTGACTCCATATGCAGTACTTTTCCCAGTGCATTGTGCACCTCTGTTTACATGACAGTGCAGTGAGCGGGATGAAAGGTGCTCAGTTGAGTCGGATATATCACTGTCAACTGGGCCAAGTTTGTGTAGAGAAGGGAGGCTTCAGGGTATTCTTGTGTCAGAATGGGAGTCTTGCAACTTACTTCATTCACTACTTGACATTTGTTCTTCTCCCTGCCCCGGTTATATCATGGGAATGGGAGATGGTTTTTACTCCTGCTGTAAGCATATGGTTGCCTTCTGATGGTCCAGGGGAGAGAAATGGACAGATGGTGAGTATGTCTTGTATCTTCCCAGATTCACAGAGGAAGAAATGAATCTGATGTCAATTTGAGTCCAGACATCTCCACAGGTTCACCTTACTTTTGGTCTCTTAAGTTTTCATATTTTCACTGGAATATTTGGAGACCATTGCCAATTAGAGTCCACCTTACCTACGCAGGCTTGCCTCTCACTTTGCTTTTAATGCAGTATTCAGGCAGAATATTTCTTTGTTTATATGTAAGCAGTTTTTCTTTCTAAACTATGAGGTTGCCAAAAGCAGAGACATCTCCATGTGCCCAGTTTCTGGCAGAGCAACTGGCATAGAATACATACTCTGAAGCAGATTACTGAGAAAATAAAGCTGCTAAACTCATCTAGCCTACTTCCTCAACTTTTCAAAGGGAATAATTAACAGCGATTTCATAAGGTTGTTAAGTTTAAATGAGTTAACATGCATATAAGATACATGGCACAGTGTAGGAACTTAAAAAATGAATTCATACATATCTACATATCAAAAGCTTTTCCTTGCAAACTAAAAGCAAAGAAAGATTCAAACCAAAAGCACAAGAAGATATAACTGTAGATCCATTAGATTGACTAAAATTAAAAATAAAATACTGGCAACCCTAAGTGCTAGCAAGGATTCAGAGCAACCAGAATCTACCTGTATTGCTCATGGGAATGCAAACTGGAACAATTCCATAAAAAGTTAAACTAAGTTACCATATGACCCAGAAATTCTACTGCTATATATTTATCCTAGAGAAATAAAAACTTATATTCACAGAAAAATCTGTACAAGAATGTTCATTACAGCTTTTATTCATAATTGCCCAAAGTGGAAAGAACCCAAACAGCCTTCAGTGGTGAATGGATAAACTGTTGTACAATCAAATAATATTCAAGATATTAAAAAGTATGAATTATTGATATACACAACTTGGATGAATCTCAAAAGCGTTAAGCTAAGTGACAGAAACCATTCTGAAAATGCTACAAAATTGTATGATTGCATCTTATGACATTCTTCAGAAGACAAAACTAAAGTGATGGAGAATAGATCAATGTTAGCTCAGGGCTAAGGGGAGGATTGTGATTCCAAATAGTAGATATAAGGAAGTCCTTTAGGGGTAATGGGACTGTTCTATATACTTACTGTGATGGTAGTTACTAAATATATATATATATATATATATATGTATACACACACACATATATATACATATATACATATGAGAGAGAGAGAGAGATCTGTATTAAAAACTCATAGACTTGTACATAAAAATGTCAAATTAACCATGTGTTAGTTTGAAAAAATAACAGAGCTTTTCCATATTGGCATTAACACCTTAGTATCTGAAGCCTCCCAATTTTCTAAAATATCTTTTTAATGAAAGGGAAGAGTCTTGGCTATTTAAGTACCTCTTACTAAAAAATTCAAAAAGGGAGAAGGAGCAGGTTGTAGGCAGTGTGGAAGAGCACGGAAACCTAGTTTGTCTAGAAATTTATAAAGCTATAGCAGTGATTTCTTTTCAATTTTTATCCTGAACTTTCAAAGAGGAAATAGTCCCCTCCCTCACCTTTTTTTTTTTAAAGCTTTGCTAGTAAAACTGTCCTTGAACTGAGCCACCAATAAATCTACAGAATGCTATGGTAATACCCATGGAGAAGGCAAAAGGGACCTCCATAAACTATACGATTTGAACTACTACAGATGTTGCAGTGGAAATTTATGGTTTTTGACGGATCCTTATCTCTTCTTGCCAGTTTCTGCACATTGAATCATGCACTAGCAAAGCCTATTTTAAGAATCATCATTTTTTTCTTTAAATATTAAAAAAAAACCGTGGCAACTAATTTCTTCCATACTGTTCTATCATGACAAATAAATGTGAAATGCATACTTACAGAGCACATGTAATTGCATTTGGGCACATGCAAATGACATGCAAATTTTACATTCTAAATGAGTTTGTTTATCATTCCTGAATTCTAATCCAAGAGCCTTACTTTTTAAATTCAGTTTACATTCTGACATGTATACAAATGAGTTTGACTCTGGAAAATAACTTAATAAACTCAGGGTTAGCTATGCAATTAGAGGCGGCATCTGGGAGCTATAAAATCTGGGCAACAGCATTTTATCTTTTTCTGCATTCAAGGTTTCAATTTCCTTGCTCAAACCCTCTTCCCACTAGCTTGCACTGCCCTCACCCTACCACTCCATTTCCTATCATTTTAGGTAATCCCATCACTTGAAATGGCCTCAGTTTAAATTTCTTTTTCCTATGGGAGGTAGATAAGTCCATTTCCCTGAGGATGACCCTGCTGAGTCATTGTCCTTGGGGTAGCACTTTAAAAAACTAAGATCAAAATGATAAATGAAATAAAAAGTAACAGAATTAACATTGATCAGTACTTTCAATTTGAGTTTCTTATTTATAATGGCTGGTCCAGTTCTCTTTTGAGTACTGATGTCTTCCTATGGATTACTGATCTTGTAGAGAAAGCTATGACCAGTCACAAATCTCATTTGTCAAAGAATATATATAGAGAAAAGAAAATAGGATCATATTCCATTTCAGAAGGAAGGAACCTGAACTATAAAACAAAGTGGAATGAAGTTTCCTCAGAAAATTAAAAATAGAACTACAGTACCATATGATCCAGAAATTCTTCTTCAAGGTATTTAGGTAGAAGAATTTAAAGCAGGATTTCAAAGAGATATTCACACACCTATGCTCATAACAGCATTATTCACAATAATCAAGGGTAAAAACAAATGTCCATTGAAGGATGAATGTATAAACAAAATGTGGTGTATTGGATACAGTGGAATATTACTCATCCTAAAAAGGAAAGAAATCTTATAATGCACTACAACATAGATGAACCTTGAGGATATTGTGCTAAGTAAAATAAGTCAGCCACAAGATTCTATTTCTATAAGGTATCTGAAATAGTCTAATTCATACAAAAAGAAAGTGGATTGGTGGGGACCAAGGGATAGGGGAAAAAAGAAAAAGGAGATTG